GCACTATGGGCAATTTAGTATGGCCAATCCACCTAAGTTGCAAATCTTTGGACTGCGGTAGGAAACACACACAGACACAGGGAGAACATGCAAACTCCACACAGACAGTTGCCTGAGGCTAGAATCAAACCCAGGTCCCTGGGCACTCTGGGGCAGCAGTGCTAACAACTGAGGTACTGTGTCCCTACATAAATTCTTTCAAGTATAACAAGTCACACCCCATGATCTTCATCCTATTTTCTTTGTTCTTTATTTGGATCCACTAAAGAATTTCTATCTAGTGGACATTGCTGCAATTCATTCATGTAGAAGAACATTCTCATCAATTCAATTAATATAAAAGCGTACTTCAGCTGTGACAAGGCATGCTTAGATTAAATTTGTACTTGATGAGAACAACTGAAGGTTAGAAGAAAAGGAATTAACAGAAAGGTCAATTTGCTAAATGAGCCGTAGCTTGTTAACTTAGCAATCCTCACAACATTCTTTTTGTTTGGACACATGCAGAGTAATGGCAACAGTGTGGGTTCAATTCCCAGACCGGCTGCGGGTTACCATAAAGTACTCTCCTTCTCAAGCTCTCCCATCACCTGAGGAGTGCTGACCCTCAGGTTAAACAATCACCAGCCTTCTCTCCTATGGTTTGGTAAGACTATAGCGACTTTACTTACTTACTCACTCCTCAACATCATCATCTGAAAATAGAATACCACACGAAGAACAACAAATTCATTTACACATGCCTCAATTTTTCTCGTGCTTCAAAAATGTCTGATATCTAGCACAGGAAGAGCAGAAAATTTCTCAAAACTAATGCTGGGAAGACTGAAGCAATTATATTTGGTTTATAGCACACACTGTCCCTAATCACTGATTCTATTCTTTGGCAACATCAGAGGCTGAATCTAATCACTCCTAAGCTCGGTGTCATGCTTGATCCAAAGATGAGTTTCCTCTCACGTATCTGTACAAACACCAGAACCAGAACAAGGACCAAGAAAGAAACAGCCATTGAACGCCTTGAACCCATTTCACACCATTCTGTGTGACCTAACTTAATATACTCATCTTTGTCCCTTGCCCCGTAGGACTTCAAGTTGACAGAAATCTTTCAAACTCAGATTTGATATCCGTATATTAGGTTAGATCAACAGATATTCAAACCAGAGGGCATTTGAGAGGACAAATAAATCAAAAGAATACTTAATAAATGGTAAATTTACGAGAAGTGTGGAAGGAAATGAACCTTGAAGTACATGTCTATAGATCCGTCAACGAACAAGACAGATAGATAAGATGGTCAAGAAAGCATCCAGGATTTGCTTTATTACCTGAAGCTTAGAATATAAGAATAATGACATTCACCAGAACTGTATAAAAGTTCAATTAGACCATGGCTCAATTACTGCATACAGTTCTGCTCACATTACATGAAGGGCATCATCACATCATAGAGTGCACAGAGGAGACTTAAAATGTTACGAAGAATGGAAAATTTTAACTATGAGGTAAGATGAGATAGGTTGGGATTATTTTAGTAGAACTTAGGAGGCTAAGGGGAGATTGACTGAAGTCTATCAAATTATGAGGGGCCTAAGTAAAGTGGAAAGGAAAGGTCAATTTTCATTTGCAGAGGGCGACCAATTTCCATAGATTTATAGACATTTATAGATGACAGAGGAGTTGAAGAGTAATTTTTCATTCGGAGAATGGTGGGAATCTGTAATTCACTGTCTGAAAAAATGGTTGAGGCAGAAATTCTCACTGCATTTAAAACACACATGAATATGCAGTTGTGGTGACGGAGACCACAGGGAGTTATGGACTAAGAGCTGGAAGGTGAAATAAGACTTGTTGGCTCTTCCTCCGCAGGCCTAGAGACAATTGACTGATTGCCATACATCTTTATATATGAATCCTCTTACATTTAACTTGATAATTAATCTAGAATCAATTGTCATTTGCAAAGAAGAGTTTGAAGCTTCATCTTGTGTGCAAAAATATACCTTAATTTCACTTTAAAAAGTGTCAAAAATTCAGTTTTAGACAATGCCCTCTGGATAGTGCTAAAGCTGAATGTTACATAGCCCCACTGGGTTTGATTTCGATAGAGAGACACACACATATGAAATAGGTTGCGTGCCAAGCTCATCACCTTCCCACCTACTGCATGGTTGTTCACCAAATACGATTGGAAGAATCGTGAATTGTGTTAACACCACGTCGAAGAACAGGGGCAGCAGATACATGGGAACACCACCACCTGCAAGTTCCCCTCCAAGCCACTCACTATCCTGACTTGGAAATATATCGCATTCCTTCATGGTCGTTGGAACTAAATTCTGAAATCCCCTCCCTAATGGTATTAAGGGTCTACGTACAGAACATGGACTGTAGCAGTTCAAGAAGGCAGCTCACCACTACCTTCTCAAGGACAAATAAGGAAGGTCAAGGGCCAGTCTATGGCGTCAATGACTTACCCTTGACCTACATCCCATAGTAGAGCATTTAGAAACACGTAATGTAAACAAGCAGTCAGCATGTCTTCATGACAAAAAATCCTGCCTGACAAATTTATTGAGCTTTTGAGGAGATGAGAAGCAGGGTAAATAAACAGGAACCAGCAGATGTCATATGTTTGGATTTCCAAAAGGAGTTTGATAAAGTACTGCACACAAGCCCACTTCATGAGAAAGGACCCAATAGTTTTAGGGGTGGTATATTAATAGGGAATGGAGGATTAGTTAACTAATAGAGATGACGTGGAAGTGCTAGTGTTGGACTGGGGTGGACAAGGTCAGAAGTCACATGACACCAGGTTGTAGTCCAACAGGTTTATTTGAAATCACAAACTTCAGGAGTGCTGCTCCTTTGTCAGTTGAAGTCACTTCATCCGGATGAAGGACCAGTGCTCCGAAAGCTTATGATTTCAAATAAACCTGTTGGACTGTAACGTGGTGTTGTGTGACTTCTAACGAATAGAGGACAGAGAGTTGAAATAAAGACACTTTCAGGATGGCAACCTGGATAGCCACAGACATCGGTGCTGGGCCTATTATTATTTACAATATATATTAATGACTTGGACGATGGAAGTGAATATACAGTGGATGACACAAAATTAAGTGGAAGGCGAGTAGTGAGATTGACACAGGAGTGTACCGGTTGCGAGTGGGGAAAACATGGCAGATGGAATATAATTATAATGGGAAAATTTGAGTTATACACTTTGTCAGGAAAAATAGATCAGAATATTATTTAAGCTGAAAAGACTGCAGAATTCTGCAACACCGAGGGTTTCAGGGTCCTCATGCATGAATCACAAAAGGCTAGCATCCAAGTTCAGTGTCTAGTAGGGAAGGCAAATGGCCTTTGGCCTTTATTTCAAAGGGTATAGATTAGAAATATAGGGAGGTCTTGCTAAAATGATACAAGGCACGAGTCTGGCTGCACCCTAGGAAACCGTGAACAGTTTTATACACCTTATCTAAAGAAAGATAAACTGGCAGTGTTGGCAGTCCACAAAAGGTTCACCATGTTGATCCCAGATGTGGAGGGATTTTATTATGAAGATGAGAAGGTTGGACTTGTAGTCATTGGAGTTTAAAAGAATGAGAGAGACCTTATTAAAACAAAAGATTCTCAGAAGACTTGACAGGGTAAATGCAGAGAGTTGTTACAAATGTAATCTTGCGGGCCAAACCGATAACTGTCCTGGACTTCCCACGTAAATGCAACAGTCAAGAAGGCGCAATGATGCCTGTTCTTCCTCAGGTAACTCAGGAAGTTTGGTATGTCCATAAGGTCCCTCACCAACTTCTACAGGTGCACTATTGAAAGCATGCTGTCTGGGTGCGTAACGGCCTGGTATGGCAACTGCTCTGCCCAGAACTGTAAGAAACAACAGAAGGTGGTGTGCACAGCCCAGATCATCACGGAAGTCAACCTTCCATTCATGGGCTCCAGTTAAATGGCTCGCTGTTGTAGAAAGGCGGCCAACGTCATCAAAGACCCATCGCACCCTGGTAATGACCTCCTACAACCTCTTCCATCAGGCAGAGGGAAAAGAACAGGAAAGAAGAATTGAGGTTTATCAGATAAGCCATGATCTCATTGAATAGTGGAGCAGACTTGATGCTCCAAATTGTCTACATCTGCTGCTTTGTCTTAGTGTTTGGCCTGTGGGCAGGTTTCTCAATGTTGGCACAAAAACAAAGTCACTGGAAAAGCTCAGCAGGTCTGGCAGCATCTGTGAAGAAAAAAACAGAATTAACGTTTCGGGTCCGGTGACCCTTCTTCAGAACATGAGGAAAACTTTGTTTTTGTTCCTGATTTACAGCATCTGCAGTTCTTCTGGTTCTCTCAATGTTGGCCCTCACCCTCAGATGTTGGGAAGGAGGACTTTGCAGGGTAAGGAGGGCTGTGTTTGCTGTTGATGCTTCCAATGCATAATAACATGCTAGATATTCATCTGACTTAATTATTTTGTTTCAAAGGGCAGTTAAGAGTCAACCACTTTATATTTACACATCATCACATGTAGTTAAGAAGAGGAAACAATGGCAGACATCCCCCACCCTTGCCCCGCCCCACAAAGGACAGTAAACCAGATTAAATCATCAACTGGCAATGGTTTTAATATAGTTGAATTCTAGATTTTATTGAATTCAAATTTCATCATCTCCTATGGTAGGATTTGAACCAGTTTCTGAATTAATAGTCCAGTGATATTACCATTATGCCACAGCCTCTTCTTATTATCCATCTCCCTTTCAACTATATATATTCAGCAGGGGCACATCCTGAACGCATGGAGATTTCAGTCTCTTTTTGTTGCTATATTTCAGCCATACTTTTTATTGTAAAGTTTAAAAATATTCAGAGTTATTAATAAACAGTATAATTAACTTTGTTCTGAAATAGAATACATAAAGAAATTGAATGTAGAATATGTGCTTCAACTTTTCTTAATGTGTGTAAAAATAATTTGCTTCCCATACCATAATGATGACATCACGGTCGCTGGCAATAACAGCCACCAATACCAATCTCCTTTATTAGAAAATGTAGCCAGTATGAAGCCAACCAAGATGCCATTGTATCCATGAAGCCCTGCTGCAATATCAGATCTGTAAAAGAAAAACATAATTTAGTCCAATATTTCATAACACAACATTTCTAACTACATTTAAGGGGACAATGAATTTTCTTACTGATTTTTTTTGGAGTGACTGCAAATGGGTTAAAGCACTGGATCAGGACCATACTGTGCTGAAGGAAATTTAGCTTTGTTAATCAATCCCTTGGTCTTTCTTTGCTGAATTCTAAACTGCTCCCAATCCTCAGACATATTATTTTTCTTGGCCAATCTGTATGCTTCTTCCTTGAATCAGATACTACCTTTAATTTCCCTTGTAAGCCACGGATTGATCCTCTTACCCATTTTGCTTTTGTGCCAGACAGGAATAAACAGTTGTTGCAGTTCCCCCATGCGTTTCTTGAATGTTTGCTATTGCTGGTCCACTGTCATCCCTTGAAGTAACTCTCCCCAGTCTACCAAGGCCAATTCACGCATCGTATCTTCATAGTTTCCTTTATTAAGATTCAGCACCCTCATTTCTGAATCAACTACCTCACTGTTCTTCTTGATAAAAAATTCTATCATGTTGTGGTTGCTCCTCTCTAAGGGGTCTCGCATAGCTAGAATGGCAATGATTCCCTTCTCATTATACAGTACCGAGTCTAAGAAGGCCTGTTCTCTAGTTAGTTCCTCCACATATTGGTCAAGAAAACCATCCCTTATATATTCCAGGAATTCCAGCTCTATGGCATTGTGGCTAATTTGATTTGCCCAATCTATGTACAGATTAAAATTATCCATGATCACCAATATTCCCTTATCACATGCATCTCTAATTTCCTGTTTAATGCCATTCCCAACATCACCACTTCAGTTTGGGGGTTTATTTATGTCACCCACAAATGTTTTTTGCCCCTTGGTATTTCTCAACTCTACCCTTACAGAATCCACATTGTTGGAGCAAATATCCTTTCTCACAATTGTGTTAGTTTCCTCTTTAACCAGCAAAGCCACTCCAAAATCTTTTCCTTTTTGCCTGTCCTTCCTAAATACTGAATACCCTGGGACATTCAGTTCCCATCCCTGATCACCCTGCCGCCAAGTTCCATAACTCCAATTATATTGTACCTGTTTACATCTATCTGCACGATTAGTTCATCCACTTTATTGCAAATGCTCCACGCATTTAACACACAAAGCCTTCATGCTTGTCTTTTTGACATTATTTGTCTTGTTCTTATTTTTCTCAATAGCCCTGTTTGAATTTTGTCCTTGGTTTCCCTGCCTATCACTTTTCTTATTCCCTTTTGATTTTGTCCTTGCTCCCTCCTTCTCTCACTCCTTACATAGATTCCCACCCCTCTGGCATATTAGTTTAAACCCTCCCTAACCGTTTTAGCAAACACTAAGAAAAGTGAAGGTAGAGAATTCAGGGACAAGGATGGACAAGATCACAGTGAAAAATAATGTAAACAGAAATAAGAATGTTAAAAATACAAGACTTAAGGCCTTGTCTCTTAAAGAGCAGAGGATTTGCAATAAAGTGGATGTAGTAGTGATGCAAATAGATATAAACAAGTGCAGTATAGTTCAGATTAAGGCTGCAGGTCAACCAGGAACGCGAACTGAATATCCAGCAGTTTTCTGCTTATAGGAAGCACAAACAAAAAAGGAAAAGGACGTGACGTAGCACCGCTACATAAAGAGGATTAACTCAATAGCGAGGAAGGATATTAGCTCTGGTGGAATCTGTATGGGCTGAGCTTGGAAACAAAAGGGGGCAGAAAAATAAAATGATGTTGATTATCAACTTCCAAACTGAAGTGGTCATATTTAAGCAAGTATTAGACAAGAAATTAGAGATGCAAACAATTAAGACACGTCCATTATTATGGGTGACTTTAATATCGACACAGATTAGGCAAATCAAATCAGTGATAATTCTGTAGTGGAAGAATTCCTGGAATGTGTACAGTGTAGTTTTCTGGATCAAAACGTTGAGGAAACAACCAGAGAACAGGCTGGGTATTGCGTATTGAGAAAGGAATAATTGGTAACCTAGCTGTGTGAGACTCCTCGCAGAAGAGTGACCATAATACTTTAGAATTCTTCATTAAGATTCTGAGACTAAGGTCTGAATTTAAATAAAGGAAACCATGGTGGTGTTAGATGTGAGCTGGCTATGATAAATTATGGAATGTTACTTACAGGGATGACAGTGTATAGGCAAAGGCAAACATTTAGACAGCGCAGTGAGGAACTTCAACAATTGTTCCTTTCTTTAAATAAAACACAAAAATGAAATGGCTAAGTGGCCTCATCATGTCTAACAAGGGAGTTGACCTGGGACTTGGGAGACAGCAGCAGACTTGTGTGGGAGCAGCACTAAGTGTGAGAGTATAAATAGCGCCCAAGGCTCAAGCCTATACTGGCCTGAGACTTGGGGACAGCGGACACTGAAGCACATTCAGTTATTTGCAAACAGCTGCACTGAACTGTGAAAAAAACTGGATTGACATCACAGGAAATCAGTGAGGTCATTGGCTGATAAGGTACCATCATTGGGATTGTCTCTAAATAGTTCTAATGAGAAAAGTGTCAGGATTAAGGATATTTCATCTGGGCTGCAGAGGAACTTAGAGTGGGACGGGAAAGATCCAGTTGTCAAGGTCCATGTAGGTACCAACAATATAGGTAGAATTAAGAAAGAAACCTTCTTGATTTTACTTTAGGACCTCTATGGTCTCTTCTGGCCACAGTGAGTCAAACATGGCTCTCAGCTGACAGCTGAACATTAAGGACTCCAGTGATCACTGCCTGGTTACATGTGATGTACAAGAAGACATGCTGAGAAACTTGTTGATTCACCGTCCTAATGACCCCTCCCCTGTGAAGCCTTTGAGGCCTGCTTCATGGTTTGCACAAAACTCTCTGCCTGGCCATTGGTCGTAGGGTGATATGAAGCCAATCTCACATGACTCTCTTCAAACTCTTCACCATAAATTGTGGACCATTGTCACTTATAACTTGCCCTGAACCTGGCAAATACTTCGTCTCGTTGCTTTATCTTTGCTTCTGCCTATACTGATTTCATGACTGCCACCTCAAGCCACTGGAGTGGGCATTCATGATCACTAGTAGCATCTATCCCTCTGCTGGTCCCACAAAATGAAAGTGAATCTGCTACCATGATGTTTGAAGCCATTCCAATAGATGAAAGGGCAGCAATGGCGGTGTTGTTCTTACTACTGGACAGGATTTGCATGATCCTGCTTTCTCCTCAATCTGAAAGTCCATATTCAGCCATCAAAAGTAGCCTCTGGCTATCTCCTTCATTTGCACCATTCCTATAGGCCAAAAATGGAGGTTAGAGGTCTGTGGTTGTCAGTAGCACAAAGGAAGTGGGTGAATTTCTTAACGCTGAACACAATGCTCGATCTTTTCTTTTCCACGTGAGCATAATTTTCCTCCATCTTTGTCAGTGACCTCAATACAAAAGCAATGGGTCTTCCCTCTACATTCAGTAAGATGTGCAACAGTATAGCACCAACCCCATAAGGCAAGGTGACATACACTAACTGTGATGGCAACTTCCTGTTGAAATTTGTTAATGCTGCTGACCTTTTAAAGACTTGCTTCACCTCCTGGTAAGCCACGTCACATTCCTGGATCCATTTCCATAGCTGCCCTTTTCCCAGCAACAAATGTAGGTGTTGTCAGATCAGTCATGAACTTGCTATTAGCAATTTACATGTCCCAAGAATGATCTCAGTTGAGACACGTTCTTTGGTCTAGGGGCCTTCATGATAGCCTCCATCTTCTTAGGCATCTCGTGTAGTCCCTCACCATCGATTACACGGCCCAATTACTCTATGGTGTTTTTAAAAAACTTGCGTTTCTCTCTTTTTACTTGAAGGCCATGCTCCTGCAATCTTTTTAGGGTTTCTTCTAAATTTTTCAAAAGCTCCTGTTTGGAGGATCCATCAAAGCCTTGCCTGGATAACACTGGAATCCTGATAACCCACTTAATATCTGATCCATAGCCTTCTGGAACAGAGCTGGGGCTGGCATGTTGTGAAGAGGAAGTCGCTTGTCGTGGAAAAGACCCTGGTTGTCACTATCATCAGTGGCGGCTGAGACTCCTTCATGACCCCAGTCTGTAAGCATGCCTGTGACAGATCCATTTTTGAAAATTTCTTTCTCCCTGTCAGTCTACTGAAGAGGTCTTCAATGAGTGGAATGGGGTGTTCATCCTCACTCATGGCTGGGTTGACTGTGATCTTAAAGTCACCACAAACCCTCACCACGCCATCTGCTTTTAAGCCCGGAATGATGAGAGTTGCCCATTCACTGATGGTTACTGGTTCCATTGCTCCCAGAATCACTGGCCGTTCCAGTTCTTCGCCCACTTTAGGCCCACGCATCTTTAGACTCCTAGGATGAGCTTCTGGCTTCAGCTGTAATTTAATTTCAACTCATTTCATTTCCCCCTTTGGTTCCTTTGATGACATCTTTGTACTTGTCCAGGATTTCTTGGAAACTCATGTTTGAGTTCGCCAATCTAACAACCACGCCTCAGTTCAACCTTAATTTTTGTAACCAGAACTGTCCAAATAATGCAGGGTATTTGCCTTTTACTTCATAAAGTGTCAATTGTACACAATGGTCCCTTAACTGTACTTGCACCAATTTATACCTTTTTGGTGGCACCAATTGTTCAATGTATGTCTGTAGTATTATCTTGGCAGGCTTCAATTGTAGTGCCCTCAACTTCTCCCGACAGAATGATTTGACAGTTAGGGTCACTGCTGCACTTGAATCCACTTTCATTTTTACTATCTTTCCCTCTACTTTGGGAAGAACTCAGAAGTAATCAGTTTCATCCCATACCGACAGTAGGTTTAACTGAAACTCTGCCTTGCAAGAAACGCTCACACCTCATGACAGAGTAAAAGAAAGTGAAGGCACTTTAATTATCAAGTGTTCTTCTGAAGCTTTTCAGTAGAGGTCATGGGAGGAAAATTCATTAATTGGTGGGATTATTTCAAGAATCTTCCAGAGCAGCTGTATATTCTTTGTCGTTACCAAATTTTAACTAACTAGGCAATGAAATATGATTTCAGAATGTGAAATATTAAGGACTAGATTCTCCCTCTGATACTGGTGACTTGCTACGAGATTAAATATAATGTCCTACTGTAAATAATAGCTCTGCACATAAGAGTAAGTACAGTACAAAGTATCATAATGTGTTCTTGAAGAAAATGGTAATAATAAAATGCATATTACAAAAGGAAATACCTGTTCTGACTGAGCAAAAGTGCTGTCAAGTTTGAGAACACCAATCCCACGAAACCGTTCAGTGCCCACCACGGATTTTGTAAAATCAGTCCAACCAAAATAATTAACCCACTCAATGAGTTGTTGACAAACATCACCTGAGCAATTCCACGCAAATTCCAGTCAATAAATAGAAAGATAATACTCTGCCCTGCAATATTTTTGAAACAAAAAAAAGTTAGAGGATCTACTTAGTGTTCTCTAATTCACATAATATTTTTACTTTTTTTTACAATATAAGCAACTTATACATGAACACTTCGATGATAAAATTAATTGCAATCAAAATTGGGCATGCTTGCTACTACCTGAAACTAGAACATTGCAAATTGAAAATAAACTAACCCAAACTAGTGGTTTTATAGCATGGACTACACGTACCAGCATTAAGTTCAGTGGCAATTTCATTGAAAAAGTATAACGCTACTTTTCTGTTTGCTGTAGTGGGTATTTATTCTCCCGGCTGCAGCACAGATCCAATGGTGAATTGGGTGGAGGGGCCTTACGGTGCAGTGCATTGTCGGTAAAGCTATGCCCTCCAAGAGGAAAACACACTCCTTGAGGTCTGTGTTCAAATCAGTACAGATAAGTGGATTGTAATGCTTTCTTATTTGTTTTAATGACAGCTACCCCCTCCCTTGTCTCCAGGTTCCCCAGCCACCAGAACTCTCCAACCCCATTCTCACTGGTCCAACACCCCGGCACTTATCCACCTTTGCTCTTTGGACCAATCAATGTCAGAAACAGCATTTGACATGTTTTGTTTCTCCCCTCCCTCACCAAGCTACCAAAATTGTATATGCACACTCGGCTATACTATGGCACTGGAAGATGTGCAGTTTCTCCCACTCCTGATGCCATTGGTCTGGGCCTGTCACCCGTTTACTGGTGCAGCTCAGGAAGCTGTCCTTTGACTGCTGCCTCAATTTATACAATACCTTTCATTTGCCCATCTCCCAGCCCTCAGCTCCCCTCCCCAATTTGATGTCCCACTTTTTCATTTACAGATATGCCTTAGCCAATATACATTTCTCCTCTGTTCACAGATACTCCCTGAGATTTTCTAGTACTTGCTGTTTCTCCAAAGGTTTGCTGCTTACAATGCACTTTCCACTTAGCAGGAACCTGGGACCCTGTTTTGCTTTCCACGCCATTCTCTCTTTGGCTGAATTAGTTGACTGTGGCTATCTATGATATTGCTAGCTTTGATTTCACAGGCACTGCAACAACATCTGTAGTTCTGGCACCTTCTGCTATTGTGACATCACCAAACTCAGCCTTGTTACAAGCAACATATTCCTGAGCAGCATGGTGGCTCAGTGGTTAGCATTGCTACCTCACAGCACCACAGACCTGGGCTCAGTTCCACCCTTGGGTGACTGCCTGTGTGGAGTTTGCATGTTCTCCCTGCATGTATGTGGGTTCCTGCTGGGTGCTCTGGTTTCCTCCCACAGTCCAAAGATGTGCAGGTTAGGTGGATTAGCCATGCTAAATTGCCCATAGTGTCCAGGGGTGTGTAAATTAGGTGGATTAGATTTGGGAAATGCAAGGTTACAGAGAAAGGGTAGGGGATGGATTGGGTGGGATGCTCTTTGAAGAAATGGGTGTGGACTTGTTGGGCTGAATGGCCTGTTTCCGCACTGTAGGGATTCTATAATTCATAGACTGTTGCTCTTTTGCCCGCCTGTAATTTCCCTCTTGTTGCTCAAATGCATTGTTAGTGACCTTGGCTTGTTGTTCGTATTCATCAATGGTCTTTTTGCAGACATGGAATATTCTAGAACTTCACATCTTGTTAACTACCATGAGCCATTTTACAAGCAGTACTGTTATATAAATTCCACCTTATAACTTGGTAAAATAGTTCCCAATAAATATGTTATATTTTACATAAACACTTGTCTTTGTTAAAATTAGCAAAGACAGTAAGCTCAGTTTCTTACCTTTCAGCCAATCACCAAACCTTTTGACTTTATCAGGCAAGGTTATGATAAGTTGACAATTACATCTGACAATGTTTTTATCATATTTTATGGCTGTGGTTTCTCCTCCATGATCTTTTATTTGCTGCATGTATTCCTTTGACTCCAGCTTAAAATTAAATTCAGAAGAGGTTTAAAAAATCCTTAAAATAAGCAAACTGAATCTATCAAAAATACTATGGAAAGGCTAACAAGCACCTGCAAAAAAGATAACACAGCATCCCCCCCAACAGCTGACAACCCATTTAACAACATACATTTGAAACGCCACCTTGATTTGCCAAAGGGCCTTTTTTATTATTATTCATTCACAGGATTAGCTTATCGCTGGCTATGCTAGCATTTATTGTTCATTGGGCAGTTAAGAGTCATCAAAATTGCTGTGGGTCTGGAGTCACATGTAGGCCAGACCAGGTGGTGTAGGCAGATTTCCTTCCCTACAGAGTGTTAGTGAACCAGATGGTTTTTCCAACAGTGGTCTTAATTCTATATTTTCTTTATTGAATTCAAATTGCAGTCTCTGCAGTGGCAGGATTTGAACGCAGGTCCCAGAAGATTACATGGGTCTCTGGATTAACAGTCCAGCAATAATACCACTAGACGATTCCCTGTTCCTCTGCTATACTGCTCTTTAATAACAGCCTATGATCAAGAGCACTGCTACAAGGCAACTAAATAGTGGATTTATTTTTATCAGATTCAATTTCAGAATTTTGTTTTGCATTTTTAACCATGTTATAGTTTGTAAAACTGAGATCCAGGCATACATAATTAGTTGCAATGAAAGTGAAATGGGACATTAACTTATCATGATATGTGTTAGTTATACCTAATCTACCAGGGAGCAGTTGTACAATATAAAGGGAATGAAATTGAACTACACCATATAATTAAGTGGCATGGATTTGGAAATGTTAAAACACAACTCATGAAGTCTGACGGTACAAAATGTATTTTCTAGGAAAGGTACTGAGTTCACATCCTCTGGAAAGTTCAATTATTAAGACTTTTATGGTACACATTGTAGCATTTCTGGCATTATACGTTTTCTCACTGAACTTTATCTTTTCCTCGTATTTTTTTTGTCCCATCTGCTGTTCATATTCATCTACATTGTGCATTTTTTCCACGCTCAGTTCAAAGGCTTACTACGTATTATTTTGAACTGTGAGCAATGTTATGTAATTCGTACACTTGAAACGTCTAAAGGACTCAACACAGCCCAAAATTGTGTAGCAGATGAGACAAAGAAGTGTACAGAATTAAATGTGAGGTATTGTTTTAAAGAAAAAAAATCATTGAGTTAATATTTGATTAGACAAAGTTTTGAATTAAATTACCTTGGCCACATTCATTTTAAATTTGATAGGGATCATAATGAATGAATAACTTGTGCTGTTGAATGCAATGTAGACAATAAGCAGACTTCTCACTGCTTGTTGGTTTACATTATTGCAGCTTTCAGGCCACACTAACTATGCTGTTGTTTAACTGATTGTCTAAACAAAGCACTACAGTTGTGACTGGCTAGTGCCAGTTCAAGCTAGCTTAGCACCTCTTGAAAGAGAAGATGCAATGTGGTTAGGGCAGATGCTGGGAAACCTTTGTGAGCTGAGTATCACCTTGCAGAATTAGAAGACTACCATATGATAGGATACTGGGCTGCAAAGCTTTCCAAAACTACTCAGATGGTCTTGGTGGAGTAGGTGCAAAGGAGGAGCAATGAGCTGTACCTGCAAGGGGCCTGGGAACTCACCAAATGCAGGATCAGAAGGCATGGTGTAAAAGTTGATGCTGATTAATGCCAGGAGTCAATCCCCTGGCAAGTGGTTGCATCCACACCCTTGCAAGAAGTTCAGTGACTTCACGAGATTTGAAGTTAGTGTATACATGTTCAAATACCATTTTGTATCTACTACATCAGAAGCTTCACACACTGCTCAATTCTTCAAGGATCCTTTGTCAGTATCTTTCAAACCTGCAACCTCTATTTCCTCGGAGGACATAGACAGCAGATGCCAGGGAGGGCCAACAAATGGTTTTACCTTCTTTATTAGTCTCCCCATGTGGGACGCCCTTGTCAAAAGCTTCGCTGAAATCCATATAAACTACATCGACTGCAATACCCTGACTCACATACCTGGTCACTTCCCCAAAAAATTCAATCAAACTTGTTAGGCGAGACCTTCTTCGGACAAAGCCATGCAGACTATCTGGTTTATCTCTATTAACCTTCTTGAAAAGTGGAACCACATTAGCTGTCCTCCAGTCCTCTGGCACCTCCCCTGTATTCTGTATCTACATCCTTCTTTTCCAAAGTGTTTAACACCCTCCCAGTGCCCTCTGGGTCCATGCAGGTGGTCCCCTTTGTCCCTAATGGGCCCCACCCTTTCCCTGGTTATCCTCTTCCCCTTGATATATTAATAGAACATCTTGGGATTCTCACTAATTTTACCTGCCAGTGTTTTTTTTCTAGCCTCCTCTTTGCTCTTCTGATTGATTTCTTAAAATCCTTCCTGCACTTTCGACACTCCACTAGCACCTTTGTTGATTTGCTGCTTTTCTTTATTTGCTAAAAGCATCTCTTTTCCTTCTTATCCAGTCCTTAATATTCCTAAACATAAAGGATTCTCCGGGCTTGTTTTGCCTACTTTTCACTCTAATGAGTACATATTGGATTTGTACTCTTGTCAATTCAACTTTGAATGACCCCACTGTTCTGCTGTAGATTTATCCAGAAGTAGCTGTTCTCAGTCTATTTTGGTCAGATCCTGCCTTAGTTTAATAAAATCCACCTTCCTCAATCCAACACCCTCTTTGGCAGACAATCATTTTTCTTTTCATAACAAACTTAAAACATATATTATTGTCGTTGCTATCACTAAAATGCCCTCTCACTGCCACCTCAGCCACCTGTCCAGCTTTATTCCCAGAATTAGGAAGGTCCCTTGTTGGACCTTCTACATGTTGATATAAAAAGTTCTCCTGAATGTATTTCAAGAAATCTGTCCTATCTAAAACCTTTACAATATGATTATATCAATTAATACTGGGGAAATTGAAATCCCCCAATATAATTAGATTTAGAAGAAAGTGGGGGGGTGCGGCAGGTAGGGGATGTTAAGTCAGAATGCAGATGACATGAAGTTTGGGCGGGTAGTCGACAGTGTTTGAGAAGTCTTATATTACAGGAGGATATAAACATATTGGTCAGATGGGAAGATCAGTAGCAAATGGAATTAACCCTGAAAAGTGTGAGGTGTTGCACTTTGGAAGAGGGAACAAGATAAGGAAGCATTCAGCGAATGGCAGGACACTGGGAAGTTCAGAAGTACAGAGGAATCTTGGAGTGCTTGTCGACAGGTCCCTGAAGGCAGCAGGACAAGTTGGTAGGGTAATTAAGAAGGCATATGGGATACTTGCCTTTATCCGTCAAGGCACAGATTATAAGAGTTGTGAGGTTATATTGGAACTGTACAAGACTTTGGAGTAGTGTGTGCAGTTCTGGCCATCTTTCTATAGACTGGATGTGATTGTACAGAGGAAATTCACAGGGTGTTGCCTTGGATGGGGCATTTTAGCTATGAAGAGAGATTAGACAGATTGGGATTGTTTTCTTTAGCGCTGCGGGCTTGTGATTGAGGTGTATAAATCAGGAGAGGCATGGACAGAGTGGATAAGATGCAACAGTTCCCTTTACTTGAAGGGTCAATAATTTTAAGATGAAGTGGACATTGTTTTAAGGAGAAAGACAAGGTGTTTAGAGGAGATTTGAGGAAAACGTTTAACCCAGAGGGTGGTGGGAATCAGGAATGCACTGCCTGGGAAGGTAGTTGAGGTTGGAAACCTCAAAATGTTTAAAAAGATACTTGGATGAGCAATGGGCTGAGGACTAGAAAGTGAGATTAGCACAGATAGGTCAATGAAGACTTGATGAGTCGATGGGCCTCTTCTGTGTTGAATGACTATAATTCTAAGAGACGGTTCCATCCGTCGACTGTATCTGGGGATTGCCAACAGGAAAGGTGAAAGGTGGAGGCTGCAGAGCAGCTGGACAGAAGGATGCTGTAGGATGAACAGGGAACCTTTAAGGGAGTCAAAGAAGGAGACTTCAGGGAAGTGGGAAGCTGCAAGAGTTGGGAAGCTGGGGGAAGGAGACTGCAAGATGAAGTGGGATTTTTTAATTAAATGGAAACCAGAAGCATTAGGGTTGGGACTATGGAAATGCTCAGCATGTCTGGCAGCATCGGAAAGAGAAAACAGCGGTCACTGAACATTTGTCAGAACTAAACCAGATGGATCTGAACCTTTGATTCTGTTTCTCTCCCACAAGATGCTGCCGAGCCAGCTGAGTATTTACAGCACTTTCTGTTTATATTTAACATTTCCAGCATCTGCAATTTCCCATTATACACCCAAGATGGATATTTGGAGGTGTAGTTCGTTTTAATTTAAATAAGAAGATATTTATCACTCAATGTAACATGTGCTTCTACTTGTGTGGATAGAAATAAAGCAGATAAATTGGCTGCCTCCTCCCTCCCTCC